TGCAATCAGCCCGAGGCCGGGCTACGCCCACTTATTATATGGCAACAATTTGTAGGGCTGCCGAGAGTTAGAGCGGAAAAACTCAAGTGGAAAATGCCGGCTAGGCCTGCCCCTGATCCTGTCCTCCTGCCACGCGCTCGCGAGCGTGCGATAATTATGTTGCCATGCATTTGCGGCACGTGGCGGCAGGCCAGGCTCTACAAGTATCCATATCCTCGCCGACTTCCGCTTCCATAATTGCCACAAATATTTACCCCATATCTGGGCTGCATCGCGGGTAAATATGTTTTTCGCCCGCTGAAGTGCCACTCAAGTGAAGCACGCACCGTGAGAGTGAGAGAGAGTGAAGTTTGGATGGATGGATAGCCCTCTTTCAGGTGAGTACGAAGCGTAATTGAGACCTTTTTAGTCCTCCCTGTTGTTTTTGTTGTTGTTGTTGTTGTTGTTAATTGCATTAATGTGCGTAATTTACAAGTAAGTGGGTGGCGGCGAGTCCTTTCTAGGGCCGTGTGAAAACTTTGCCTCCTACTTGGGCCTGGGATATTTATGCGGCAAGGCGAAACATTTGGCCAAGCAATAATGCCGAAAGTGCCAAACGGAGACTCGTAAATTGCACCTCCCTCCAGCCTCCAGCCACCACCAACAAGAGTATCCTGTTCCCATTCCCTGCCACAAGTTTCGGGCTAAGGACCACTCCATTCCCCCTCCTAATGGCAGCAGACGAATCCGCATTGGCCCCCGGGGAGCACACAATTTCAATAAATATTTCACTGCATTAGCTCGATGTCAGGTTCTGAGGGCCAAATCCTGGCAGCGCGTTACGTCAAATTGCTTTTTGTTGGTTCGGCAATAACGTGCATTAAATGTTTTGGCCATTATCATTTTTGGCCAACATCATCGCCATTAGGGCTGCTCACTCTAAGCCAGAGGCTGAGTCAGTGCGGGAGTTGGGACTAGTTCGGGGAGTGGGGAGTGGGGCTTGAGGCATCCCCACAGACTTCCATTGAGCTACTACAAATCGAAAGCGATTCCTATGACAATGCCAGGAGGCTGCCAGACAGCTGCAATTGTTGCACTCTCTATGCTTGGGGTATGCATAAGAAAGACGCAATGCGGATAGTTCCCTTTGGGCCAACAAAGAAACACCTTGATTGCTTCAGCTCCAGCTGCTGCTATTAACTGCAGAACGAGCTGGGCTGGGCTGGCCTGAACTCAACTGAAACGGCCCAGGCTGAATGCTTGTCGAGAGCTTTCTTTCATTTACTGACAATAAATTTTCATTTTCTTGGTAAATCGTTCCGTTGTTTGCTGGCTGCTGCTGCCACTGCTGCAGTTGCTCCTTTCTGGCGTCGATTGCCTCTGTCTGCCACACATATGCCCGCATTTTTGCACCACAACAATTTGGTTGGCACAGCTCATTGTCTTCCGCCTCAGCCAGTGTCTGGGCCATGGCTATAGCTCCAGCAGCATTGCAATTGCTCACAAGTTATCCCAAGTGGAAATTTTCCAGCTTTGCCTGCCACTGCCACTGCTGCTGTTGCTTCTGTTGTGGCTGGGTGTCGTTATTCAGGGCTGGCAAATCGCAATAAAACAAAAGTGATTGTCAAGTGAATGCGTTTGTGCTCCCACATCACTTATCCCCCCTCCAACACGGTGTGGTATACATATATATGAATGTAGGTATGTGGGTGATATTCTCCCGCCATAATATGCAATTCATCATGTGCGCTCTCCTGTGTAATTCGGAGTGATTAAAAATGTTATTCAAATGCACTTGATTGATGGATGAGAGTGATCATAATCGCTGAGTTGAAGACTGATTCGTGGTGTAAAGCGCACAGGGGAGAGAGAGAAATTGATATTCGATTGTTAGTAAAAATCCGCAAGGAAAAAGGGGTCAAATTTTCAATTGCTGCCGTACACTGGCCAACACACTCTTTCCCCAACTGAAAGCCGGAACTGACTTTGTCACGCTTTTTTAAATGCTTAATAAACATAATTTCGGCTAAGCAACTCTTTCCGCCGCAAAGCCACGCCACACGCAACATTTCGGCCAAGAGCCGGCCAACTTGGCCAGCAACACGCACACACGCACACGCATACGCACAGGCAGACAGACAGGCAGTTAATTAAGGGTGTGAACTGGTTGAGTTATGCGTGGACAGGACAGGACCCCCACCACAAGCCCCCTCCATTACCCTCCCCACACACAGCCGTGTGTGCCTTTCCTGCCACCAGGCCCTTCCGGACAGCCAATTCCTGTCAAGGCATCAGCATAAAGGACAGCCAAATGGCCAGTAAATAATTCATTAGCGGCTTTTAACAATACATTTTTGTTGGTCAGACTAATCGACCTTTACGACTAGAGACTAGCTCCGTTTCTACACTGAGGAAAAACTATAGCTATTAACTAATTTCGAAATCTTGTTTAAGGAACTTTTCCTTCCTAAAAATATCTTTTCACGGATAACTAAAGGCGGTCCCTACAGAAGAGAGCTTTCACAATCGTGTATCATTGAAATCTCTGGGCGTTACTCATCTTACATCTACATATATTGGCCTTGGTCCTACTGTGTCTGAAAGACATTCGATAGAATCCCGCTTAAGGAACCTTAAATTTATTATAAAATAATCTCAATAATCATACTAATGGAAACTTCTTTAATCTTAGCAATCATCAAATATAAATGGAAATCTGTGAATATATTCAGGACTGATCGCAATTTCTGTAGCATATTCTTCATGTTTTTTCTCAGTGTAGATGTCTATTCTTTCTTTTACTTTTGTGGGTTTTTTTTTAGGTGGGCACTTATTTTAATGAAGTGGCTCATTCGCTGGTAGCGGTAACTAATTAGCTGCGCCGGCTTGAACTTTGAACTGCTGGCTTCGTTAGAGAAAGAATTTGACGGTTTGTCTTTCGCCGCATTACTCCGATAAGAAAACGATAAGACAGAGAGCGAGATCATCGATTGTAAGGAGGGAGTAGCCACCTGCGAAAACACTAATACATTGTTGCTTATTTTCGGAACATTTCGCAGTGGCCTGCAAATTAAAATGAAATAACTCTTCATCAGGGCCCCAGCCCCTCGCGGCACACGTGAATCGAGGCCCGAGGAGCCCACAGGCAGGAAATGTGCTATAATTGAAAAATGTGGTAACAAGACGCTTCGCAGCCGAACGAGCCTCCTCCTCAGCTGTGTGGCACCGTGTCGGGCCTAATGAATGCCTCACTTTTTCCACCGTATTTTTTTCGTATTTTTTGTTTTTCGTTTTGTTTTTGCATAACACGCGAGGACTGTGTGGCATGTTCTGGGAGGGTGATAAATGCTCATCAGGCTTTAAGGCTGCGCTGGCAATTAACTTTTACAATGTTGTTGAAACGTAATCAAGTTGTCAACGGCAAAGAGTCGGTGGCTGAGACGCTGACTGGATCGCATATTATACTCCTAATTACCCCAAAAAGTTTTCTCAGCGAGCGCGAATTCCCTAGGCCGGGACGCACCAAGCAGCCAGAAGGGGCAAGTGGCTGCGGGGGCTCTGAGGGGGCGTCGCGACAGATCCACTCTCATTGGCTAATCCTGGGGGATCCATTCGACTAATGCCCTGCTAGAGTTTCCCCAGTCCTTGGCTCGATTCAAATGTCTCTCAGTTGTCATAACAAACTCGGGGGGGTTTCCATCAAGTTCCCTCAAGTTTTCCCTGACGGAGATGGAAAGCATTAGTCGGCGGCGTTTCCCCCCCAAAAGTCTTAAGTTACGATTCCAGGCAGCTCCAAGAATTGACAATAAGCGGCATAAATTTTAAAATTTCATTTTTATCGCATTCCGATTTTCTTTTTCCTTTCCTGTGCCTTTTCCTCTGCCTTTCCTTCCCCCTTGGGCTTGTATGTATGTTTTAAGCCACATTTAAGATACTTGGCTGGCATTATTGACTTTCGAGTTGATAAAGTGCCATAAATGTCACCCCATTAACAGAGGAGGCAGCAGCAGCAGCAACAACAACAGAAACGACGACGAAGTGGCAAAGGTAAAGCCAAAGGCAAAGGTAAAGGTAAAAATACGCGATGAGTTCTTTACGCTCTGGGGGTTGGAGATATATATATATATATATCTACTTATAAAGAGACAGCGACAGAGAAGGGGAGTGAAATAAATGTGTGTTTCTGCTTCAGCTCCTGTGGCTGCTTTTGCTGCTACTCGTACTGCTTGCCAGGATAATGCGCCTCAACTCAATTGGGAATTTCGAAAGTAAAGTTGAATTTCATGTTCGGCTGCGGCAATTGTCACAGATGGTTTAATTGAAGTAATTACATACGAAATCCGTCAGGATTTGCTCCCTCCTCAAGCTCTTCTCTCACCTCACCGCTCACTGCCCTCCTGTCTCCCTCTCTGATGACACTTTTCGTTTATTATTTTATTATACTCGTATTATTATATACTAAGCAGCAGCATCATCATAATCCAGCCATTTGGGGTTCGCCGGAAAAAGGGTTAATTGAGTTGTTGCCTTTTGTTTTATCTGCTTTTCCGCCGTTTGCCTTCTCGACTCCTCGACTCCTCGACTTGCGGGCTCTCCTAATGAGCTAATGACAACTGCGTGTAATTGTCAGGCAGGCACAACCACAAGGACATCCATAAGGGAAAAGTGTCGCAAGTATTTATTGCCCACATTTTATGTGCTTTTTCGGTTATTTTTGCTGTGGTTTTCCATGAAATTTTGAATGGAATTTTTCCAGGGGGTTTGAATCCAGTTGAACCGGTCCAGGCACATGCAGATGTTCACAAAATTCTGACTTTAGAATGTCATATTCAAGGCTGCCTAAATATATATTCAACTGAACCGTAAATATTTGCGTAAACATTTTACTCATCGTTTACCAATAAATAGAGTCACTAAAAATGAACAATGACATCTGGATAAACAATGAATGATTTGCACGGTCTATAAAAGGGCGTACCACAACCAGAGCCAGAGACAGTTATCATACATTTACCAAAAAGATGCTTAAGTCGATATTTCTGGTTGCAGCCCTCCTGGTCGTGGTACAGGCCACCATTCTGTTGCCCAAGCCCCAGCCGGTGGAGCCCTGCAGCACATGCAATCTCTACCTAAGAGGCTACACCTGGGCCCTCGAGGACTGCACCTGCCGTGTCTTCCAGAACGCTTGCCTCCTGGGCGAGGAGAATGCTCGCAGAAAGAAGGCCGGAAAAACCCGTAAAGTTCTATGGAATATCTTGTGGCACTGCCAGAAATAACCTAATCATTATCGGTCGATAGCTCTTGTCATTGTTTCGGAGAAGGTATGCCGAAGTTTTATTCCGAAGAAGTGCCTTATTGGATTACCAGTGGTGGCCAAGTTCCCGAAACCAGCCCCATGCGGCTGCAATGGCAAGCCTGGCAACCTCGTCAACCAACAGTTCAAGAATCTCTGTGCGCTGAAAAAATACTCCTCTGAAAATTCAAAGCGTAAGATAAATTCGAAATTACAGAAAACAGTCTTCTACAATATGTGTGATCGTTTTACAGCCTACATCAGCTACACAATTGGAATCTGCTAGGAATCTTTCCCGATGGAAGCATCAACTACTTGCAACATTGACGACTCCCATGCTGTTTTGTTTTTTAATTTTACCTTATCACAAACCATTTAACATACAATACATATCCGAAGTAAATGCCCTGCACTTAAAAAACTACTACAATCTACTATTTCAATCTACCATAAAATTCTCCGAGGATTGCTGCGATTACCTACATTTAGGTGTAGCCTGAAAGGGCACTTATCCCTGCCTAAAATTGTACTCGCATTTGTAATTACCTGTTTTGAGTTTAGTCTAGCCTGTTTTTGAGCTAAAAAGATGAAAAAGTAAAAGCTTTCTTTCCCATTCGAATATTTTTCGGTTCATTAAGTCAAACATGTGGTCGCCTGAAATTTTCAATGCACATTCTGCAAACATTTTCAAGTTCATTGTTTACTGACTTAAGCATTATGTAGACATCGCGTAAACCCCATCTGGACAAATAATAAATTTCGTTTAATATAAAAAGTCACGGCGCAAGCCGTTTAAACACAATCTTAATCAGTTCATATCCATAGTCTTTGTAATCGTTTCATTGCAATAAAATATTTAGCATTCAATTAGTATTTCTTTTACTTGAATTTCTGCGAGTTTCTAACGTAAGGCCTCTGATTCAAGAATAATCCGAGCCAGTGCCAGAGCCATAAACAGATCCGGAGCCAGAGTCGGAGCCAGAGCCGGAACCAGAGGTCGAGGCTGAGCCAGAGACAGAATGTTAATTTTATTCCAACCCGATGCTATACATTTTGAAGCCATGTGCCCATTTTCATCAAAAATTCTACAATTCCCAAGCCAGCTGCTTGTGGATGAAACAGAAAGCCAGGCTGCATTGGAACTAAATGGTTTTTGGATCCTGTGTCACCTATTGAAATATTCAGCTGAGGACAGGACCATTAAGAAATTGTTCATTAAATAAAATATAATACATAAAATATATACATAGTATTCACATATTTCTATACTATACTATTGCTTTTCTCCCTAGAACGAATATCGAATAATTTAGGTCGCTATCTCAAAATTAGAACACCCTCTACCATTCCTTAGCCCCTGAAATGTCCCCCTGAATGGTCCCTTACCAGTATGTCATATCGTTAAATTTGCAAAATTGATTTCTTTTTTCCTCTCCTATATATTTCATTATTGTTAATATTTTAAACCTTATTTGTCAGATAATTGTTAACATATTTAATTAAATATATTAGATCATTGGTAAATACAATTCGTATTGTGTGCTCTTCCTCTGGAGATGCGTTATCAAAGAAAGTTTGCCAATTTACCACTTGGTTACCTTGAACTTGACAGTATCCAATCGATAAGGTCAGTTGCCTGATGTTACCTATAAATATCGTATGAAAAGGTATTCTTCAGAGTACATCTGGTATCGATACAGTATATTTACTTACAAATTAATCAGCAAAAACAACCGAAATACCAAAACCACCATCTGCTCAAATACAACTTTTGACCCATTTTGTCGCCTATATAACGAGCCACCAGAGGGAGCATAGTCAACAGTTTCCGAGTTTCCGAGTCAGCCGATCATCATGTTCAATCTTAAGTTATTCGTCCTGATTGCTGTGGCCATCTGCCTGACCCAGGCCTGCTGTGTCAGCGAGCCCGAGACGCCCAATTGCGGATGTGGAAAGCCTCAGTGCAGATCCTGCGGCTGCGGTGGCGTCCGGACAGGTGGATGTGGTGCCAAACCCTGCCGGAATCCCTGCCCCAGCTGCGGCGGCTCCAGCTGCGGCTGCCCCAAGTAACCAGCTCTACGGGAGTCCTGCACTGTCTATCTGAAGTCTGGGAAGTGAGGAGACCTCCCAGCTGAATTCCTGCTTGTCAAATGTTATGTTTTCCCCGTTATTAAAGTGTTGCAACCTCTTAGAACTTTCATCTTTGATTCTGGCTGTCTTTCGTACTTTGTGCGCTCGATTGTGAAGCGTGGATGGATGGGAGCGCTTGAATGAGCAGACAATCATTTTCATTGCATTGATCACTTTTTTATTCATATCCGTTCACTCGTTGGCAAAGTAATTTCTTTGTTCTTTCCCAGCCATGCAGCTCAGCTCCCTCGACGCCCCTTCAGAAAGCTGAGAAACAAAAGAAAAAGTAATCATATCCGGACTCCCGCTGCACCCGTCCCCCCCGCACTTTTGGCGCCACCATCGTCGTCGTATACTTTGCACTTTTCTACGTGAATTGGTTTTTTGTTTTGCTCCTCTTGTTTCCTTTTAAACTCTGTTTGGATCTGGTACTCGGATTCCATTTCATTTGCTTGGCCCTTTAGCCCTCACTTGGTCGCCGACTGGATACCAGGCCCATCCTCGCAACCGCAGGACATGGGTCGCATCTCCTCCTAATAACCCTAAAAGCCTTATCGAGTCATTTAGTATGAAAACAAGCAATTAAAATGATGAATATGCAATAAATGTGGATTGTATATGCAAACACACAAACACACAGACAGCCGCTAAAGGACAATTCCTTTCGCCCCTTCCACCACCCGTCAATACATTTTATATGCTAATGAGCGGCACACATTTACGGGGATCTACAGAAAAAAATGTTCAAAAAATTCGGGAAAAAATAAAGGAAAAGTCCGAAACATACATTTGCCTAATGAAAATAGCGCCATTAAAATGAGAAAAACAACTTTAGATACCGAAATTCGAAACACGGCGAGTTTTGGCAATTAAAAGGATACGAATGATACAAGGTCCTTCTCTCAACTGTCCTGCTGCGTCAGCCCATGAATATGTACGAGTGTGATGGAGTAGACGGGCAGGGGCTATGCCCGTACACTATGACAATGATCGTCTAGCAAATTAGAGATTAGCACGCATGTGTCGTCCTTTTCGTGTGTGAGTCCTTTTTGGAACTGCTGGCTGGTTCATTGACCGACCGGCGGCTGGCAATAAAAGTAAATGGCTTCGAAAACTTTTGACGGAGTGCCAAACTGGCGGCCAGTTTTATAACTTAACGAATTAGAGCAATTTGAGAAGAGACTATAAAAACGTCAGGGGCTGGAAAACCACAGAAATATGTTGAAAATTTTTGAAAATTTTCATGGCGCGTGCTCGAGGAAACACTCAGGTAAATGGGGCGCACGGGGGTTGTCTGCCGGACTGTCCCCCGAACTGTGTGTTTAATAAGCTATGACGAGGGCAGAGAGCAGGCGCATTGAAAATAGCAGGGAGGATCCATATCAGTGGAAAATTAAATGCATTTTGAGGAGCGGGCAATCAAGGGGTATACTTAAAGATGTGGAAGTGTAGGAGGGGATGACACACCCAGGCCGCTGTTGTACAACATCTTCGTGGGCAAACATATTAATTAACACAGACACAGACACAGAAACAGAGGCCTATGCGCCTGTCATATGTCCGATGCGACGGGTCAAGTCGGGTCAGGTCAACAACTTAATTATATTGCCCCGACACCGACATCGCCACTAGCCCCGGGCCTCGAGTGCACTCCGAGTGCTTCAATTATAATTACGCGTGCATCCATACGTATTTGTATTTGTATTTGTATTTGTGTGTGTGTTTTGCATTTCCAAGTCGAATTTATTATTATTTGTATATGGAATTGTTTGACTGCCGCGGCCCCGCCCAGCTCTAATTTGATAATTGCAATTGCGTGTGCAGTCAGCGGCTCGTTAGCCAATGTCCTGTCAGGACATCGGCTGATGGGTTAATTGGCCTTTAATTTGCTGCAAATTTGCTGGCATTGCCGTAAGCTTTCGTGTACATATATTATTGGCCCGTTATTGGCCTCTAATAGTGTCAACATTGTGTTAAATCTACATTTACAACTATTTGTACTCCCATGTCTAGGCACTCAATAATATATTGTAATTAAGCTCCCCCGCCGTACCCCTTTAAATGATTTGAATTAGTCTTAGCTGTGGCCAGAAATTATCCCCTTTCCGGATAAAAACCCTCTTTTTCGAATTGGCAAAGCCAAATAAAATGCCTGAGTGACAATTGGTTAAATGAAATTGATTGATGAGACAGTTGGAATGTATCTAAACTTTGACAGATTGCGCAGAGAAGGTTGTGCTGTGGTTGGGCAGCCACAGGAACCCACACCCGACCCGACCCGGATAGGGATCATCATCATTTAGAGTGGAGTGGGATGGAGTGGAGTGGCACGAGTCAAACAAATATTGTGACAGAAAAGGGGTGCGGGCCCAATGAGATACAGAAACTCGAACAAATGTAAATGCCCGGAAATCGCTGTGTGTGCGTGCAGCTTATTGACATTAATGTAACAATTGTCAAAGGATTCATTAATAGCTCAGAGGGGTTGGGACTCAGAGCACAGGCCAGGGTGCGGCTAGGCTGTTGCTATCAATCATTTGATTGATATTAATGAGCCGAAATTTGCATTAATTCAACGATGATCACATGTTTTGCAGCTCTGAGAGTGGAGTTTGTTGTCGTTTGAGTGTTCTCTGCCTTAGAGATTTGCCAAATGCTTGCATAAATTTCAGGCATAATTAAGTTTGTGGCGTACGAATTTCCATTACCAATTCGGATGTAGATAGAGGCAGTGGGAGTGGAGTGGGATACAGAAAATTGAATTCAAAATATATTTGCACACATTTTTTGGCTGCTGCCTCCAGCTCTCGAATGCCAATAAATTATTTCGTATTTTCCACTCACAAAAAAAAATTCATTCCATCCTCGAATATCGAACAGAAAAGAAAAACTCAAATGTAACAAGAAGATCAACAATAAAGCCACAAGAATACAAATTACCAGGCCACAAAATGTCAGACAGCCATTCCATACACACACACACACACACACACACTAATACATATACATATACTAAGGCATACACACTTACCCAGCCATATAAATGCACAGTTTGTGATGCATATAAAAAACGGAAAGCAAATTTGAATTTTTAAATTAGTTTTGTTAACTTTTGCCGGCGCTTGGCTTGCTGTTGTTGTTGTTATGGACTTACTCTGGTCCTGGCTGGCTGGCTGGCTGGCTGGCTGGCTGGGAAATGTTTAACGACTCGTAAGGAAATTGCAAAGTAAAATGTCTTCAGGAATTTCCACATTTCAACAACGGCATGGCAGCGGGGGCGGATGGGGCGGAATGGAGGGGGCCGACCGAGCAAACGTAATAAAAAGCAAAAGGAAACCACCAACAACTACAGCATACAAAGGCAAAGAAAGCCACAAGATGGCGTTGAGTGGGTGGATGGAAGTATGGGCGGATGGGCGGATGGGCGAATGGGAGGTTGGGCCAATGGATGGGTGGTTGGGCTGCCTTGCCTGCCTGCTGAAAATGGCGAATTAAATTTGAAATTGCGGTCGGTTGTTAGACGAAAGAGAGCGGCATACCAGACCCAGTATGCAGGAGCGAAAGAGATACGAGAAAATGTCACAGCAAGTTGAGGTAAAAGTTGCGTCTGGCATTGCTTTTGTTGTGTAAAATATGGAAAAATGTCTCCTTGGCTTGGATAATGTGAGAGGCAAGGTAAGGTATGCAAGGACTGCTTATGCATACCAAATGTGTGTGTCCTGTCCCTTCCCAGCTCCAGTCCCAGCCCCAGCTCCAGTCTAGGGACAGCGACAGGTACAGGGACAGCATATGAAGTGCCAGCAAGTTTATTTGTTTTGTCAGTCGCTGCACGCAGCTTGGAGACCTCATTCATGCCCCCCGCCAGTTGATGGCTTGGAAAATAAGCTCAGAGTCCTCCCAGACTTCTTTCTGCCTTTTTTTTTGTTCTTCCAGCTCATTCGAAATGCAAAGCAGCACTTTGGAAAAAAATTAAAATTATATTACGTTTGTGCCACATTTCGTCAATATCAGATAATCATTTGCATCAACCTGTCATACAATATACATAATTTCCAATGAGAGTTAAATTATCCTTGCTGTCATTGAACATTCTTCCTTGCCTCTAACTACAAAAAGTTACATTTAAATAAATCACCCGGGCCAATAGAATTAACCCAATAGAAACCATAAAGAAATGTACCTAAAGGTTTTATCTATCGATTTGGATGGTATGCATGTTTTTATAGCAACTTTTTCAATTTCAATTTTCCATGATGAAGAAATAAATTAAACTAATCGAATAAATAAACTATTGTATACACAGAATATATGATCCATGTGGCAGATCCCTGATCGTAGCTGCCACTCGAATTCCCTTGGTCCTTAAAGTACACATTCGGTGTCTCCTTGGGTGTCACTCCAGAGATAATGTCCTCTATGATCTCTGGTCGCGGATGCCACTCAAGGTCCCCTGGACCTTAAGATTCAATATCCCATTGCGGAGGGAAGTGGCAAAAATATCCCTCACGCTTTCTGCCAATCGTTTTCATCGTATTGGACATGTTACTGCCGGACGACATTCGTCAAAATTTTCATCAAATCAAAGTTAAGTTTAAACAAGAAAGTTTTTGTGGACGACATCTGCGTTTCTCACAAATATTTTTTAATCGATTTGAAGTACAAATCGTGAAGTAATCGAGAGCATTTGTGTTCCCTACAAACTAATAAAGTGACATCAGTTTAACAGTAAATTCTGGCCACCATCACACACACACACAGAGAAAATCTCATGAGCAGCACAAAGCCAGAGAAGACTGTGAAATTTATTTTTCCAAGTAAAATTACTTGTCGCTTCCGGCCAAAGAGCCTGCCGAGCATGGGCATGGGGGCAACTACACTTACGAGACGAGAGGGACTGAATATGTGTGCACCAATACATGTGGGAATCTGTGAGAGAGAAG